AAAATTTATTTTTTTTATTTTAGTATTCAATACTTTAAATGAAATTTTTTATGAGTTCTAAAAGCAAGTAGCAACTAAAATTATTTGTCCAAATCTAATGAATATGGACAATAAAAATAAATTATCAAAAACTTTAAAAAAAAAAATTTAACGGGCGAATAAACGGGGAATGTGGACATACCCACGCCCCGTCCTGTTGCCATCCCTAGTTTTTAAGAGTTCTATCCATCTAATGATTGTTTTAACTATGTTTAACTTTTATTCGCATCCAAAAACTCAAAAGTGATTTTAATTATAATCATAAATATGCTAACTCGTGTAAATAACTAGTTAAATTTATTGCAATAACTCGTGTAAATAACTCGAGTTGGCTAAGCTTTAAAATAATTAAATTTAATTGTAACTAATTGCACGCGATCCTTCATCTTTCAAGGTTTATTGCAATTTACTTAAAAATTTAACTTTTTTTGTTTTAAGTAAGAGTTTAATTAGATCAAAAAACAATTACTATATTTTTTTTAAATAACACAACAATAAGTATACATTTTTATTTTATTTAACTTTCAAATATGCTCAACTTAAATTTCGCAGGACGTACAGGTTGATTCATTTCTTATAGGAATAACAATTCGAATTGTTAAAACCGAAAACTGCAATTAATTGAACCGAATGGGGCGAAAAAAATCGAACCGGGTGCAATGAGGTGGTTATGGTTTTGATTTTAATGACCCGTGCCCTGCCCTGCCCCGAACCGATTACCAGTTAAAAAAAAAATTAATTGGACAATTGGGCTTTCCATTATTCTTTCCCAAAAGTACTTGGACAATTTTGACAAGGACTTCCCCAAAATTCTGGCCCAGTTAACATTGCTAGTAAACCTTTAACTCAAGAACCTAACTCTAACCCTATTCGTTAAGATTGAAAATTGGAAACCAAACTTACAAAATACTCGTCCACTCAACCAATGAACCATATCAGATCCGCCGGCGCTCTGCTGCCTATACCTTAACTTCAAATTGTAGTAATCAACAACGAAATCTACCATTTTGTGAGCACGCTCCCTAAGTTGTTATGCGTCCATTGGCTTCAAACCATCTTCCCTATATAATTCAACAAAACTCAAATACATTATATTGGATTGCATTTTCTTTATAATACAGTATAGTTGTATTATTACTCTAATTACATTTCTTACTTATTATATAGGAATCAACTTTGAGTCTTGACCTATGTTGATAAATATTGTTTGTTAAATTCGAATTTTGCATTTGGAAGTTGTGATATTGTTTGCATTTGGAATATTGTTTGCTAGATTAACTTAGTATTGTGTTTTTGTTTTATTGATTTTTCTTCGTAATTTTTTTTTTCAATTTGATGGTTGGAGTTTGGACTTATAAAAAATAATTTATTTTCGTGGTTATTAACCGAAGCGAACTGAACTGATATACGAACCGAATCGAATTGACTTACGTGGTTATGGTGTAGTTATGGTATGACCAAAAATTTAGTGGTGCGGTTATGATTTTGACTGAACCGATCCCGAACTAAACCGTTGCCATCTCTAATTTCTTAGGGTGTATTTGAGCCACATTATTTTGAAATGATATATTTTGAAATAGTGATTAATGCAAAATGCGTGGCTCAAAAGGAAAGAAATGTTATTAATGTGATGAAGAATATTATTTTATTAAAGAACATGTGGTTAAAAATGAGTAAAAAAATGAAAGTTTAACGTGACTCAAACAATGGCTTAAGAAATTAAATTTAAACCAGCATTAATATCCTTTTAGTACCCAAAAACCGTCAAAACGTTCTTAAA